GTACTGAAACAAAAAGTTGCCACAGAATTCTGTTTCAAAGACGAAGTTGAAAGTAGAGTTGCCCCTGGCTCCTAACTCTTCGATGTCCAACGTTGATAGTTTTATCTTGTTGCCGTTCAAAATAGTCAGTTGTGAATGATGTTAAGTGTTTCTTTTTGGTGCGAAAATAAGAGGAAATAGTATTCTTTCATTTCATGTGTGTGTTACGACATTTTCATTCTCCTTTAGCATTTATATTAACAGTCTTTGAAGAAAGTGTCCGCATGACTGGTTGGTACGTTACATTACGACATGTTTCTACTGTGGGGAATTCTTGTGAACTAAATGAATTAGATTGATATGAATGAAAATTGACGTTGACTGTGTGTTTTCTGTGTGCTGATAAAACAAATTGAGTTTATCGAGAGTTTGCAGACAGTGCTGTGTTCACTTACAGTCACATAGACAGGAATAACACTTATATATTTGCTCTATAAATACACATCACACAGCGTGTAGAAGCCGTGGCCTCTACTAGCAATGAGTGATCGGCTGTTCTGCATGATGATGAAGTGGGAGATTATTTACTTGTCAGTCAGTCTGAAGAAAGTTTATCAGATTCAGAGTTTGGTAGAAGCAATGAGCTGGATGATTGTGCCCTTATTGATGTGATGGTGAATGGTGACGGTGATTAGATGATGATATGATTCAATATGAGAGAAGGCATGAAAAGTGCAACAGACGGAATGAAAATTTCACAAGTATTGTTGGACCTCAACGTGTGACAGAAGTTGCTGGCATTTTCCAGTTGCTTTTCGATAGAGAATTCATAAATAAAATTAATGAAGGGACAAATAGATGTACTGAGCAGTTTCTGTGCAGGCATGAATTATCAATTTTAAAACTTTGCATACTGTGTAAAGTATTAGAGTATAAAATAAGCAAGCAAACAAACTATTAACACTATAAAAAAGACACTAGTGCCATACGTGTTTCAACCTCAAGAGGTCTTCGTCAGTGGGAACAGGGAAATTAATTCATGTAAAAAAAAAGGTTTAAATTTGGACTAAAATGATTTAAATTTGGACTAAAAATGGTTTAAATTTGGACTAAAAATGGTTTAAATTTGGTCTAAATATGGTTTAGAAAACAAATCATGAAGTGGAGTTATTTTACAAAAGCATATCAAACAAACACTACACTAGATGTTGTTTCACAGGAGTTGAACTCAGCACTTAGCTATTGATCCGGTGGCCGTAGCTGGTCTGCGGCGAGCTTGTTGTTGCGTCGTCCGTACCTGTGAACTCCAACGAAGCGTGGGTGTTACTGCCTGTTTTCGAATGTGTGGGCTATTGATTAAATGAATTAATTTCTCTGTTGCCACTGATGATGACCTCTTGAGGTTGAAACACGTATGGCACTAGTGTCTTTTTTATAGTGTTAATAGTTTGTTTGCTTATTTTGTATAAATTATCGAGCAAGTCATCTGCTAGAGCATGGAGACTGGTGGCAGAGGGAAGGAAGTATTTAGGTTGTACACTTTTGTGCACTTCTTAAAACCTAAGATCATATTTTGCCCGAAAAAGGTTCATTTTTATGCTGGTTTTGGAGAAATCATAACAAGCGACGGACTTGGACGGATTTGTTAATTTTTTGCATTTTGCTAGCAGTGAAACCATCAGCAGTTTTGAAGGACTGAAGTAACATTCCAAAACTTTCCCTCTTATAACTTATGAGCCAGGTGACATTACCACTGGTCACTTGTGCCTGTTTCGTGTATTTGCATTCAAGGACACAGAACTAACCCCCTTCCCTTTTGATCACATCTGACACTGAGCCGTCTACCACACTTGAGGCAGAGAGGGTTGAGTTAATAGAGGATTGGTTACCAGTAATCATGTGATGCATCACACGCTGGAAAGACGCATGGTAGAGACAGGGCGCTCAGTCTTTGCTACCAAACTCACATGGACTGACCGATAGACAGTGGCACAAAGGTCACACTAATAAATCAACAGCCATTGTTCTAAAACTGGTAGAGCCTCTGTTTTGAAACAGGGCAGGACTTTGTGGATGAATAATTTCTGTAAGTCACTCTGTATAGCCAAAGCCATTTTAGTGTCGCATTATAATCATTGTATGGGTTGAA